GTTTTAAGAGAACAGCAAAACAAAATATTACATAATCAAAAATAATCATCATCATCGGTAATCACCACAAAGCCAGCTGGTCACATGCTCCTCTCAGAGAAGGCACTGGCGCACCTCAGCTGTTTACCTTAGTTGGTTTTGGCACCAAAACTTTCACACACTTTTTCTGAAATCAGTTGTGTATAACAAAAAACTTGCTGTTATATAATCATTATAGAAATTCATAAATAGATTCAAAATATGAATGAATTAATACATTTCTTCAGTTGAATCTGTGAAAATGCCAATGATAATTGCTACAAATTTTTCATTTCCCTAGCAAAATATAAAGAAACAAGAGTTTTGCACAACATTGTAGCAGTTGATTATGGGGCAGCTGTTTCCCAAGTTTTACTTTTGTTTCGTTTTGCAGTTTTTAACAGAGAAAAAGGTTGTAATTTTGTGTTTGTGTGTGTGTGTTCAGGCTGCTTCATTCAGACAGAGATCCTATTCCAGATGTTCCTGCTATTTATTTCGTCATGCCCACAGAGGAGAACATCGACAGGATTTGTCAGGTGATTGCACACAGTAACTCATTAAGCTGGACTCAGTTCTTTGCCTGAGTGCGTTTATCTACTCTGGGAATTACAGAAGAGTTCCTTTCAGAAGTAGCAGGACCAAAACCATGAGCTAAAAGATGCTAAAAGCTCAAATCATTTTTCAGTTATCCCGTTTAATTTTCACCTGTCATTAAAGTTTGGTAAAATCATTGACAATCCCAGCTTTATTTGTTTATTCGTCTGCCTTTCTGGAGCTTGACCTTTCCTTTTTATTGAGAAATGATTTATCATTTTTCTGTGTTTGTGTCATCTGTGAGGAAAGCTCACAGCTTTCCTTCTCAAATTTAAGCCCAGGTTTCTGTGTTTTTGTGATTTGATGAGTTCATTAACCTCTTAATGCCTCTTTAACTCTTGAACTATTTAATTGCACGAATCTTTAATATTGTGTTCTAGACATCCCAAAATTTGATGTCCACATATGTGGACGACAGGTTCTTAGAGGTTAAAAATGCAGCAGCAAAATATTGTTATTATCATTTATCATCTTTTAGCAACTGATGATACTCAGCATCCCAGACTGGAATATTTTCTGGATTTTTGTTGTCAGAATACTCTAATACAGAATTTGCTTGCAATAAAGAACCAAGTACTGCTGCTTGGTGTGGAGGGAAAAACAGAACTTGATGAATTGATCCCGATTCTTAAAGGATGTCTTGGTTCTGTGTCATGTCATTTTTTTAAATTGTGGCACACATAGTGTGGACACTTAGGGATGATCTTGAGCTCTGGAAACATTTTTGTTGATTATTTAATGATCCAATAATCAGTAGTTGTCAGACTGAGATATTTTGGCCTACTAC